TACACATGTACATAGAAGTGATGAGCAGCACAATCTTGAGGGGGGGAAGAATTGATGAAAATCTTCCAAGACCAGGGGAAGAGTTCTAGGAAAACATAGACCAAGATCCATATGAAAACTCTCATATAATTGAAGATTCTCATAAACCAGTTAAGGATATTATGGTATAACAAAGAAGAAGGTTTGAAGCGCAGCAAGAAGATAGTCCAAATGAATTCTCATAAAATTGAAGACCCTCATAAATCAGCCAAGAATATTATAGTATATCAAAGAAGAACGTGTGAAGGGCAGCAAGAAGACAGGCCAGTTGAAATTCAAGAGAGCACTCAAAACCCATTCAGGTCTACCAGAAAAGGCATTCAATTGATCGAGAGGTAAGTTATGACACCTCCACCCATAGTTTTCATGTTTTTATCCATGGAATTCTCAAAATCAAAGAGCCTATAACTTATCTTGAGGCAAGAAAAGATTGGTGGAGGATCGAGGCAATCGCAATGTACATAAACAAGACTTAGAAAGATAGTTCCTAGACCTGCAAATGAAAATGCAGTGGACTGCAATTGCGTTTATAAAGTGAAGTCCAAGTTAGATAGCAATGTGGAAAGGTTTAAACATTAAAGCAAGGCTGGTTGCAAAAGGGTTTAATTAGCAACATGGACTTGCTTACGAAGAACATACTTTAGATAATCCAAAAACATATAGAAGTATAGAAGTTTAGCATGGGTATTACAATATCTCACTCTCACCAAGCCTATTATATCATACGTTGTTAACCAAGCGTGTCAATTTATGCATGCTCCCATTGACATTCACACAGAAGCAGTAAAGAGAATAATAAGATATGTAAAAGGAACAGTGAATCATGGGCCGCTCTATGAAAGAAACAACATGAATAAATTGAATATTGCCTATATAATTGGCACTCTGGGTGCAGGTTGTGCTAGAGATCCAAAATCTAAAAGATCATACAGATTACTGTTTCTTTCTTGTTAGATATCTAATTTCATAGAAGACTAAAAAAAAGAAAATTGTTGCAAGGTCTAGTACGAGGCTTGGTTTATAAAGGGTGAGGTCCTTAAACTTTCCATTAACCTATCCCAAGCCCGGGTAAAGGAAATGGATTGTGTCAGGTAGGCCCCAACATAAAATCTTCACCCAAACTTTCCATGAAAACTGAATCTACGTTATCTGTTTATGTTAGGGCCTTCCACTTGAACGAACTCACACCTTCTAGTGTTGTACTGGGACCCAAAAGGACATGGTTGAAAGTACTGAGAAAGACATAGGGACTTGTAGCCCCACTGAGGGTATAGCCATTGATAGAGCAGAATGGCAGACCATGATTTGTGTAGCCGACCCCAAATAGTTAGGAAAAAGGTCAGATGATGATGATGTCTGGTATGAGGCCAAGTATCAAGCACTTGCAAGTATAGTTTCTGTGATCACACAGACAACTTTTCTTGGAAGAAAAATGTACAAGTCAACGTTTTACTGTGACAAAAAGAGTGGTCCGGCAATTTCATTAAATCCAATACTTCATGATTGCACTACACACATACAGATAGATTACCATTTTGTTTGTGAAAAAATTGAAGCCAAGGAGGAAGATGCTTGCTTTATTGGAATGAAAAATCAAATAGCTGATATCTTCACAAAGAGCTGACAAAAGATAGACATTAGTAGTTGAAAATGTTGTACATGTTCAAACATGACTTACAACTGAAGGGGGAGTGTTAGAATGCAATGAAGGGTAGTTCTGTAATTTGTGTATTTTAAGTAATTTGTATATTGTGAAGTCATTTGTTGTAATGTATGAGGCCAAAACTGTTCTAACCCAAGATGTAACATTATACTTATTACAAAAAAGAAATCGGTGTAGGCCTAATGTGTGTTTTCATGGGAGACTTGGCTCTTTTCTCTCTTCTTCTAGATGTTTTTCAGATGGAACTTCTAGTTTTGATTGAAACTATGTAAAAGTCCTCTTATTTGTCCTAAGTCCACCAGGTCTGTGGCTGATGGCCTTTGCCGATGGAGACCCTCCATTCAAGGCTTCAAGAGGAATATGGGTGTCCTCAGCGACCCAACAACTTTTTCCCGTTCGAGGCCCTTGGCCCAGACAGCTTCCCTATCCCTTTGTTTCGCAAATTCTAGGACACTCTTGCCCAAGATATCTTAGCTATATTCTTCAAATATTACCTTCAAATATTACCATAGGGTTAAAAACCGATTGCTTACTACCACTTTCAATTGCTTTCGTCCTTAAGGAAGGTGCATAAGAATTAAAAGACCATTGACCTATCAATGTGCTAAAACCTTTCGACAAAATCATGTCTGAAGTGTAGCTTCGCATCCGCAACAGGCTTTACCCCATGCTGTCTCCCCAACGCAAGGTGCTTTAATCCAAGACACCAAATTCTGCATAGAATGTTAATCGCTCATGGATGTATCCGCAAGACACATATACCCAGGTCCACTTGTCACATCCAATTTGATAGTGAAAAGCTTATGACCACATTAGCTGGAATATCATAGACAAAGTAATGCTCTTAATGGGCTTCGAAAGTAGAAGGAGAAGCTGGATTACGGGATGCAATGCCTGCTCATGGCTCTCGGCCTAGTAAATGGCTCCCCAGACAGCTTCTTCCCCGCCTTAGGAGGCCTTTGTTCTGGAGATTCTTTCCCCCCTTCCTTTTCACCAACATGGAAGAAGTGTTTAGTAAGTCCATCTCAATGTTGTTTCAAATAATATACAAGTCTTTGGATCCTCTCAGAGCCGTCCCTGTTCCCTATATGTCCCACTTAAAAGTATGCAGATGATGACATGCTAGTCTCCTGCGATGCCAACCCCCAAGAAATTGACTCTCTTTGGTTATTCCACAGGTGCTTCAAAGTCACATCGGCCTTCAAGATCAAGATGATGAAGACTACTTTCTTTATGGTTTGCTTGGAGCATCAAACTGTTTTGAAGCTGGCGAAAAGGGTGGGGTGTAGGACTAATTCCTTGCCAACCAAGTACTAGGGGACTGGCATTGTTCATAGGCAAGCTTTGCAAAGCACAGGTTGTGGTTAGCGAACGTTTCAAGCCTTGATGCTTGGAAGACTATGTTGTTGTCTTTAAGTAGTAGGGTTAACTTAATCAAAACCACATCATCCCAACATTCTCAGCTTTCAGATGTCTTTGTCTAGAATGCCCTAGACAAAAGAGATCGACGGCGAGGTTAATGAGAAGGAATCAAGAAATTTTTACTTCGTTAAGTGGGATGTTTCATGTAAGTTAAGAAGTTCTGGGGTTCTGGTTATTAGAGAGCTTAGAAACTGTAATATGATGCTCCGTAGCAAGCAGTTGTAGTATTACACCAACCACCAAGAACATCTGCTGGCCCTATAACAGCGTTAAGGAGATGATCCTTATGGCTGGTTACTAAAGGGTCATTCTAATGCATCGGCTTTGGGTGTTTTGAAAGGCATAGTATCAGCCTGTGTGAAGTTCATGCCTCACTGCCGCTTCACTGTTTGGAAGGATCACTGGCTTGGTATGGGCACCTTGCAGTCCCGCTTCTCCAGGTCATACTCCCTTGCAAGCTCCCAAGTAGCACGGCTTGCCCAGTACCACAAAGTGTTTGGGGGGCACCTTACCTCAAACCCTAGTTTCAAATTGAATCTCTCTGATGTGGAGATCCTTGATCTTAAAACCATGCTTGATCTTCTAAGAACGCATTACTTTCCAAGATCGGGCTTCCCCTTCCAGATCCTTGGTCTCCCCTTTCTACTTGATTCTCAGCCAAGATCACCAAGATACAAACCTCCCTGTGCCCCTTGCCGTAAAGGCCTGGACCCCTGAAAATCAAGGCTTTCAACTGGCTTGATCTCTCCATGATAGCACTCATGATCAGCTTTCATCATTCCAAAAGATGTGTGATGTGTATGGAAGCAGAGGAAACCCATCAAAAACCACCTTTTCCTTCTTTTCTCCTTCACAGGTCTTGTATGGGCCTCATTACTCTGCCATTTTGACTCGTTTTCGGTGACTCCACCTACCATCCAGCAACCATTTGTCGAATATTTTACTCCCCCACAGGCCACACCCATCTGCAGGTGTATTATATTGGCAGGAGACCTTTTTGCCACCCTTTGGGCATTTGGTTGGAACATAATGCTCAGATCCTTGACAGTCCACAGTCTAGGGAGGAAAGGACTGTTGATTGCATTAATCTCCAATGTGATCTTTTCGAGCACACCACTTCGATATGAAGTGGCTGGTCACCCTTCCTCACGCCAATGACCACCTCAAGATCTTCCTCCCTTTGGAGGTGCCCCCCAGTTTCATCAAACTGAACTTCAATGCATCCTCCTTTGGAAATCCTGGCCCTGCTGGAGTGGAGGCATTTTCAGATATTGCTTTGCTCAACCATTGCTATCATTTGGGGCCCAATTCAAACAGTGGACTACTACAGCCAAAGCTATGGCCCTTCTAGAAGGTATAAAACGGTTTGACACTGGCTGGGGCCTCTCACCATGTGAAGGGAGACTTGAGCATAACTTTCACCAAATTAATGAATTGAAAGATTCCCTACGAATGAATTCTAAGTAAATGGGGAAGCTAATGCCCAGCCGAGCTTCTAGGCAAGGAAGGGACTGCAGCCCAATCTTGCATTAAACTTAACATAGCCTTGTTTTTGTTGACAAAGAGTTCGCTTTTTATTTTTGTAGAATTTCTTCAAACTTGTATAGGGGACGCACTCATATCATACTTTACAACTTCACTACCATCAATTATTATAAAACAAAATAAAAGGAAAAAAAGATGACTAAGCAAACCAAAAAATTATTTAAAACTATGCTTTTTGCTTCTGTAATTTCAACCAACACCCCACAAAAATATATATATATATCGTATCGCAGCCTCTACAACAAATCTTCAATAGATCAAGCTGACATATAAAGAACAGATATACATCATGCTTCAGAAGACAACATAATATGCAGTGATAACAACAAACCGTTTCTCCCCTTGGTTCAATTACTTCGCTGCCACAATATGGAGTTGTAAATGTGTAGTCATAGTCGAGAATAACCTGCTGAACAGGTTTACTGCAATATAAAAAGAAGGACATCAGAGGACATTCACCTTACTTTACATTGGATAACATTGAAGATACTATGAATTACAGAGAAAGTCACAAATTGTTTTCCAGGGTACACCAAACACTAACTCCGCATGCAAGAGCATCTCGGATTTTCATAATAAAAAAAGTTCCTAGTCTGTTAGTGTTTGCATCTGGTCCCCTCTAACAGGATAAGAGCCATAAACTCCGACTCTCTTTCAACTTCAACATGAGGACAGACAAATTTCTAATATTCATACTATATGACAAAATTAGAAATATACTTAACTCTAATAAAGATAGGGAAATGACTACATTAGACCTGGTCATACAGGAAATGTCTGGGACAATCTCCACAGTTGCTTGCCAAACACAGACTATGGAGATAATTTGTTATACCATCAAAAGTCTGCAAATGGCCATTAAGACGAGTTATGGAGCATTTCCACTGTCCCTAGTAGGTTACTGGTGGTGGTGGTGGTGGTGGTGGTGGTGGTGGTGTTGGTGTAGATATCGTCTCCTAGGATACAACTCTCATAAACATTTCACATGGAGACAAGTATATATAGCACACTAGATACACTTTTCTTTGAATTTACAGCAAGCTCTCACTCATAAAATAACTCTTACAACTCATTTACATCAAAATTAGAGGATCAAAAACACCTCATAACATGCCCAACACTATTTCCATTCAACTAGACACCATGAAATTCCATACATACAAGATATTTACCACTTGTACAAAATTCACCTAAATAGAACTGAAAAGTGGGCTATTTAGGATTGCACGGTGCATAAATTTAAAAATTTCTCTATTTTTTTATAATACCAGTATATTCCACTTACAAGTTGTGTGTGTGTGTGAGCAAAGATATACAAAGATATATGCGTGTGTGTGTGTGTGTATGTGTGAATATGTGAGTGTGTGCATGTGTATGTAACTTAATACAGCATCTATATATACATACCTCCTAAATTTCCACTTTGCAGCTGCAGGGACCTCAACTGGTGGTAAAGATTCCTGCTTCCAGTTGTGAAGAGCTTCAAATGCATTGAAATGGATTTTAATGCCACTACCAATATGAACCAGTTCTAAAGAACTGTCCCCAAAAACCATCTCAGGCATGTGAGATGTTCCAAGCCGTTTCTCCCAGCTGCAACATCCAACAATGATAAACAGTGATCAGTAATAAATAAACTTATCAAAAGTGAGAAGGAACAATACATTTATCCCTATTGACACAATAAACATAAAGATGCTTGGAAGGTTTCAAAAAGAAAATGTCTAAATTTCCAGAAAAATGTGTATGGTTACATCAGTATTTGGTTTCGAGAGTTATGCCAAATTTGTAGAGCTGAGAAACCTAGTAACTTGAGAACTGTCAAACAAGGATGAAGAATTGGAAATAGCATATGGTGTAAGGCTTTAGAACAAAAAAGGAAGATATACCCCAGAAAAAATAATCTGGAAACCAAGGAATTCTCAACTGATGAAATCCAAAATAACGTTGGAAAAGACAAAATTGGTCATATGTGATGAAGTGAAGAACCATTATCTAGCTTCGAAGTTAGAACAAAGGCAACAAAAAAAGCCTAGATGTTAGCCTCACAAACCTATGCTGCAAATATTCATTGACACGTTCCCTTCAGCAAACATCTACAAGAATATTAGAAGTCTCTCTTCTTTAGGTGTTTGCAAGTCAACCAACATCTCCGATTACTAACAGCAGGAAGAAAAATGGAATAGCTGATAGAACAAATGCAATGGGATCTGCTTAACCAGATGAGTGGTCCACACCTGACTGTTGGAAATAATTAAGTAGTGTTGCATATGATGGGTATAAATATCTCTTATTTTTCTTAGGACTTATATGTGTTATTTCATTAAGAGGGCAGTATTGTAATTAAGTCAACAAATAAATATAAGTAAGAGGCGTTCTTGGTCTTTCTTGACCAACACACCACTCTCCTTTCTCTTCCTCTCTCTTATCTTCCCTCTCTCTTTCCCATGTCTCTCTCTCTCTCTTCTTTTTCTTCTTTCTTCTCTTTCTCTCTCTTACTACTCTCTAAAATTTTACTTCTACTTCACGTGCAATTTCAATGTGACATTTTGAGTGATTAAAATATTGCAGAACTTCATTTCAAATCCATATTAATAACAAAAATGATATTCCTCTCTCATGCACTATGATGTATGGGGTCCTTCTCCAGTTGCCTCTGTGCTTGGTTTCCATTTCTTTGTTATATTAGTGGATGATTATTCTAAATTAACAACTATGTATCTAATGAAACACAAAGATGAAGTTGTTAAATCTACTTCAAGTTTATCACAAAATGGTTAAAACTCAATATGATGTGCAAATTAAAGTCTTACATTCTAAAATAGGGGTGAGTATGTGTCAAACCAACCCAGAGATTATTTTGTAGATCAAGGTATTGAGTTCTAGAGAACACGTCTATAACACCCTCAAGAGAATGTTATTGTTGAGAGGAAAAATATGCACTTGTTAGAAGTCACCCGAGCTCTCCCACTAGGACTAAACGTTTGAAAAAATTTCTGGTATGAAGCAGTTCTCACTGTTGCCTTATTAGTAAATCACATGCCCTTTTGTGTTCTTGAGAGGAAATTTGCTGAAATTATTTATCCTGTATCTCCCCTATTTCCCATACCTCCCAAAGTGTTTGGTTGTGTATGTTTTATCCACCTCCTTGGTCCAAATTGGGACAAGCTTGATGCTAAATCCGTGAAATGTGTTTTTCTGGGACATCCATCTCATCAAAAGGGATTCAAGTATTATGATCCCGTTAACAAGGTCTGTTGTCTTTTTCTTTCTTTTTTTTTTTTTCTTTTTTTTTTTTTTTTTTTTTTTTTTTTTTTTGAGGTTTTTAACTGAACATAGTCTGCTATGTCTCCATGGATGTTACTTCATTTGAATCTATTCTCTACTTCTCATTTATTGGTCATAAGGGCCCTCCTCTGGGGGAGAATAAGATACATTTCAGTGAAGAGAGCACATCACTAGTTCCCCGTCCTATTCCCACACCGGTTTTATTTGAAGAGAATGGTGTACACCCTAAAAAGGAGCTGAAGATGTATATCAAGAAAAAGAACATGGTACAACCTGAAGTTCTAAATGATTATACTCTAAATGCTAATCCGGAATCAGGAACTGTTCCAAACTTAGGTAATTTTTTCACCTTCTCAGAAAGTCCTAATTTGGACGTACCCATTGTTGTATGCAAGGGTAAGCGTTCTTGCACTCAGCATCTTATAGGAACTTTGTATCCTATAATTCAATGTCGTTTTCTTATCATGCCTTCATATCAGCTCGAACTTCTGTTTGAATACCTTCTTGTGTTGCATAGGCACTTTCACAACCCCAATGGAAGACTGCCATGAGTGAACAATGGAGCAAAACAATATATGAACAATCACCAACTTCCTAAGGGAAGAAGATCGTAGGATATCAGTGCATCTACATATGAAGTACAAAGCTAATGGTGCCAGTAAAAGGTATAAGGCTAGATTGGTTGCAAAAAGGCTTCACTCAAACTCTTGGCATAGACTACCAAAACATTTTTGCTTCTATGGGCCAAGTTGAACACTATGAAGATCATTCTTTCTCTAGCTGCTAATGAATCTCTGCCTCGCCACCAGCTAAATGTAAAGAACACATTCTTGCACGGAGATATCCAAGAAGAAATTGACATGGCCATGCCTCCACGTTTTTAGGTTAAGGGGGAGACAGGAAAGGCGTACAAGTTAAAGAAGGTAATATATGAACTTAAACAGACTCATAGAGCGTGTTTTGAAAAATTCAGTAAGGCACTGCTGAAACTTGGGTTTAGAAGAAGTTAGGCTGATCATATGCTCTTTGTAAAGAAGAATTATGCTTGGATTATATAGCCCATATAATATAAGTTGATGATATTGTTGTGATAGGAACAACGCGAAGGACATTGAGCATCCTAAATCATACCCAAGCAAGGTGTTCGATACCAAAGATTAAGGCCCCCTTATGAATTTTTTGGCAATTGAAGTGGCAAGATTGAAGAAAGGAATAGCCATCTCCCAGAGAAAATATGTGTTGGACCTATGACAACAAACTGGGATGTTGGGATCTAGACCAACTGATAACCGTTTAGAAGTCGATCATAAACTTCGTGAAGAAAGGGGAGACCTAACCAGCATCAACAAATAGTGGGCAAGCTTATATTCCTCACGATCACCACAACTCTTATGCGGATAACGTGTTCAGCCAATTTATGCACACACTACGTAAACTACATTTTGATGTAGTATCTCAAATACTGAGATATCTCAGGTCTGCTGGACGGATAGTTTTATGTTTCTCCAATCAAGGGCCTTCGGATCTTTCTATTTACACTAATTCTAATTGGGTTGGATGCCAAACTAATAAAAGATCCACAACTGGATATTGCACCTTTGTCATAAGAAATCCAACATCTTGGAAAAGCAAGAAACAAAATGTGGTGGCAAGATCAAATGAAGTAGAATACAGAGTTATGGCTCATTGTACAGGTGAAGTAATGTGAATCATGAGTGTTCTATTGATTTGGGGGTTAAAGTTAAGCTTCCCATAATTTTGTATTATGACAATGAAGTTGCCCTTCATATCTCAGAGGATCTTGTATTTCATGAAAGGACAACACACATTGAAGTAGATCATCACTTCATTAGAGAGAAGGTTGTTGCCAAAATCATTCATGCCCCTTATGTGAAGTCTAAAGATCAACATACATATATCCTCACTGAAGCCGTTGGATGGGAAACTATAAACTATCACAAGCAAGCTGGGAATGATATGCACCAACTTGAGGGTGTGTTGGGAATAATTAAGTATTTTTGTACTTGATGGGCAAAAATGTTTTTTTTTTTTTGAACTGGTTAACTTTGTTCAATAAAAGCAAAAGATTACAAAACCACCAGGTGTGGTAGAAATGGAAACCCACAAAATGGGTGCTCAGAGTACAAGGGGGGAGAAGAAGTATAAAAACAAACTCAAAAGGAAAATAACATAAGGATAGAAAGGCTACAGTGAGGAGGGTTGCAGTAAAGAAGAGCAAAAACCAACAAAAGTAAAGTGGTAGAGAAGGCCAATAGAATAGAGAAGGGGAAAGAGTCCAAAGGAGAGAAAATGAGCCCAGAAAAGGCAAAAGTATACAGTGGAACTCTGAGAGGTCGACGATGCCCAGTAGCAAGATCTGTGTCACTGAACTTGGAGAGTTTGAAGACACCTAGTAGTGAGAGTTGTGGGATGTGGCCGCAACGGATGAGGATGTGAGGCTAAGAACCTCTTTTGGCCTTTCTTCATAAGAAGACGTCCCTTGGGGGCAACCTGCAGGAAAATAATAATAGAGAGGGGAGCGTAGGAGGGGAGGGGGAACACAAAGAGACCAAAGATAAAGAAGAAGAGGACATGTGGTAGAACACTGAGATGACAGATAATGGAGGTGGAGAAGGGGTAGAGCAAAGAGAGTAAAAGAAGGGAGAAAGAGTAGAGCGAGAAAGAAGGAGAGATGGGTAGAGCATAGAGATGACAGATACTGGAAGGGGGAGAATGGATAGAGCAGAGAAAGTGAAAGATGGGAAAAAGAGTAGGGTATTGAGATCGGAGAGAAAGAAAAGACGAGGGATGGTGCCCAGAGAGCTGAGATAGAATAGAAGGGGGAAGAGAAAGAAAGTCCAATTCAACATATTCACTTCCAAGTAATCTACTCTCTTTTTTCCTTCTATGTTTTGTTTGTTCTTTTTCATTTTCTTTTTTTTTTCTTCATTTTTCTGTCCATGTATTTTTTTTCTCTTTGTTCTCATTTTTTTTGGGGGACTACCTAAGACAGGGGAGGGAGAAGAGAGATAAAGGAATCATAGAGAAAAGGAGAGAGGAGGGGAACATGGTTCACCAGAGAGGGACAAGGGGTATATAACACACTAGTTGTGAGAATAAGAGAGTAGGGGAGGTGTTGCAAGCACTTTCATAAGCAAAGCCATGAGCTACTGATTTGGCCCCCTAATGAAGCATATGAAGGTCACAGGCAGCAGGTCTCTGTGGCAAGAACTCCAATGAGGGTAATGTGCTTCGGGCTACTCCCTTAGAAAGGCCATCCGTCACGGAATTGGCACCTCTAAGGATGTGAGTGAAAGTCACTATCGGAAGGTCTCTGCAAATGAGGGTGATAAGTTCAAATATAGACACCAATCGTCAAAGAGGTTGTACTTATCAGCCCATGAGATGACATTTCTTGAGTCACTCTCCACTTGAACTGCCAAGAAGTGGCAATGATTTAACAAATCTTCTTAAGGCCTTCCAGCAAAGTGAGAGCCTCTGTTGTTTTGAGTCTTCTATTCCTAGTGGCCTTGAGGACAGGAGGAAGATACCATTAGAGTTTGCAAGGGAGCCTCCATAACCTGAGGGACCTAGATTACCGAAAGAGGTTCCATCTGTGTTAAGTTTAATAACTCCCAAAGGTGGGGGATGCCACTGACTCCTAATCAAGGGGGACTGAGAGGTTAGTGACCTTATAGGTCCTATTTCATTAAGAATAATTAGGTCAACATATTAATATAAATAAGAGTTGTGCCTGGTCCATAGTTACCGGGATCTTCTACGGAGGGGCTCGCTTCTGCTCCGTAAGCTCGATCCCACACTTCGAGATACGAGATCTCAATTCCAGGCAATTACTTGATATTTGGGATCTTGATTCAAGAATCGGGGAACTCGATCCCATCTAATGGGATCTAGATCCCTATGCCAAAGATCATGGTTCCATGAGTAAGCCAAACCGTGATTCCACCAACTTGGAATCGAGTATCCTCTGATTTGGGAGAGAGTTTCACCGACACATTTTTTTGGTTCATATACAATCGAGTGTGGACCTCCAATTTTTTATGACCTACAAACTTTCTAGACTCCATGATTTCCTACATATTTTACAATTCACAACTTTATACACCTTGTGAATCATGATTTATGTTTAGTTTCAAAGAAAGGCAACAAAAGAGAGGACAAGTAGAGAAGCAAGAAGATGGAAGGAGATACAAAAGTTAGTCGCGTTATGGTTCACTTGAATAATGTCAATATGCTCAACTTCCTTAAAGCTAGTTCATTGGGTCTTATCTACCTCCTGAAGGACTTTTATCGTCGCTTGAGTGTTTGTTGGTCAACCAAATCGATCCACTCATGAGATTGCCTTATGGGTGATGGAATAACATGTATACGTGGAAATGTGACGTCTCTCTCACGTATATGTCTTTGAACCCCTAGCAATCTTTGACAGAGGAGAGCTATTGGGAATTATATATGGCAATGTCTTTCCTTTTTCTTACTTTGTAAAGGAAAACTTAACTATTGCAGCATTTCTTTTGGAAACAATATACCATAACATTCTTACATTAATCGTCAATTGATATTCGAGTGGGAGTTGCCCAATCCAGCTGCTTGGTGCCAAAAATGCGGACGTGTGCGTTGTAGGCAGACCAATGTAGGTAGGTGTGCAATTATTGTAATGGATCCACATGATTAATTTTTTATAGTGATTACAGCTTAAGTAATTGTTTTTATCACACTCCATTCCCATTGTTAACATGGGATCAAGGACTTAGGTATTACATCACCATATTGGATTTCTATTATCGCTATGTGTAAGATCATACTCCAATGACAACAAAATGTTAAAAAGAATTTCAATGAAATGACTTTTGTTCACATTGATACTGGGTTTGTGAATTTGAACAAGTTAAAAATATTGTTCAATGGAATTCACTCCCAACTTACAATACAGTTGATAAGTGAACTTCAAGAACCTCGATCCTTATCACGGAGGAAAGTGATCCTATTTAGTAAGGAATTCTCTCCTGTGAAGATATGGAATGCGCTCCCTAAAAGTTAGGGATCTTGATCCCTTTACCCGACCATGTACAGACCTCATTCCCTCAACCATGAATCTTCGACCCTACCTCCCTCCGCGCTCCCACTCCCACTCCCGATCCTGGTTCTGTTGTCACTCCCATTCCCGGTAACTATGGCCTAGTCTTTCTTGACCAACACACCACTCTCCTTTCTCTTCCTCTTTCTCTTCTCTTCTCCCTCTCTCTCTCAAACTTCTCTTTTTCTCTCTTCTCTTCTTCTCTTTCTCTCTCTTACAACTCTCTAACATCTTACTTCTACTTCTGTCCTTTTCTTTTCTCTAATTTGCCCTAGATTATTTTCAACTCTCACATGTATCCAAATCATGGTTGAACCAAAACAATATTATTTTCAACTATCACATGTATCCAAAACGTGGTTCAACCAAAACAATTGTAAACAATGCTCAAAGACGACATCTTACACTCACGCTATAGTTACAGAAAATAATAAATTTACACAAAATTCTCCACATCTATATTTCTATTTACTAAGAGAAAAGACTCCAAAAGTGCCACACACCAATAACAACCTAATTTACTAGAAAATCCACAATGATGCATCACATCTATATTTCTTTTTACCAAGAGAAAAGGCTCCAAAAGTGCCACACTCCATTAACTTCCTAATTTACTAGAAAATCCATAATGACGCATCAAAACCTTTGACAAAAACCTTACCTTCCAAAACTCAAAACTAGCTCCCCCTTGACCTGAGCTTTGATAGCCAGATCATGGAAGTAGACTCTAGGAATATCACCTCGTGGGCCACTAAAATCTCTCAACCACCTTGGAAGATTGCTCATTTCTTTTACCATATCTACATGCTATGGAGGAAAACTCACACCATCTACCAACATGTGCCAAAAGAAGTCAATACAATCACTTATATGCTAGCAAAGGACACTAGAGTTGAACATCGCCTGCCCCCTCTTCACCATGAGGCTTTTTATCTCTCGCTTTCTTTCCTCATATAATCTCTCAATTTGCTCTTTCTTTTCTCTTCATCAATTCCTCCATCGCTCCCTTCTTATCTTTCTACCATTCACCTCTCCCTCCTCCTCCCCCGCCCCACCCCCAAAAAAAAAAACCCAAAACCCCTGAAAACCTCGCCTTTGCATCCTTTTCTCTCCCCCTCCCTGAGCTCCATAGGAAAACAAGAAGGTTTCTCCCCACCCCATGCTTCTTCACTCTCTCTTGTGGTCATGCTTTCCTCCTTTGCATGTTATCTCTCTATCTTCTTCTTTTTAAGCTCTTTGCTCCACATCCTTTCTTCCTCCCTCACCCCTCACCTGCTACCTCCCTGTTCTCCTTTCCTCAGTCGACAATCTATGTCTCATAGGCTCGGCACATACAGGTTGGCCTTCACCTGTAATATTTTGGGGCGTTGAGCTCTTTGGGGTAGCTGATTTTGGATTTTTTGATTTGGCTTTGAGCTCCTAAGATGTCGGTAGCCTTGCAAACATTGGTTAAAGTTTATTTCTTGCTTTCAATCTTCGTATCCCCCTCGTGTTTTGAGCTCCTAGTATGTGGATAGCCTGCTGGGGCCTTCTTTTGTACTTTGTTTATGTGTGTGAGTGTGTGCGTGTGTGTCGATATATGCATGTATACATGTATGTATATATGTATAAAGTCCACTTTCTCTAAGAAAAAGAAAAAAGAAAAAAGAAAAAGACGAACTAAACCTAAAGAAAGATATCATGTACTGACAAGGTCATCCACATTACTAGACTCCCATATTCATGCGATTCAATTTTCGTCCCAAATCCTCACACCATCTACCATAGATAGACTTTCCCTAGGCACTCCATATTTCTCCTCAACCATTGACCTTTAAGCAGTGTTAGCACGAAAAGCCAGCATTTGACTATGCATACATGAAGTGTAATCGAGTAACTTTTTCGTCAGGATTAAGTGATTTGAGTAACTTTAGCTTTCTGTCAAAGAATCAATTTTTTTTCTAACTATTTTAAAGGCTAATTAAGGTTTCTCTCACCAATAAAAGAAAGAATTAAGAGCGTAGAGCAATAAATATGCAAAGAAATAAAATGCACTTTTATTACATAGCAAAGTAGAATGACATCTAATAAATAAAAAAAGATCCAAATTGGATCGCATAATCCATGATGAGTATGCACAATCAAATAGGCAGCCTGCGTTACCAAAAATTACTTTGTACTCTGAAAAAATTAATGCCAATGTATAGAAAAAGAAGAAGAAGAAGACGAAAGTTGTCATGGCGCTATTTTCATTGTCCCTCCCATATATATAATAATCATTTCAATGAAACGGGATCCAATAATTACTAGCATTCTATAATGTTGATAAGGATATGTATTTTTTCTCTGCCCAATTATTAAAAACAACATTTCTACAGTTGAGGAACCAAATAATCATGGCCTACACATCTAACAAAGCACCAGAGAGTCCAAAGGCATAGTTACTCTTATGTACTAAACATGATCATGATGGCCTAAAATTAATTAATCGGTCAACGTTTATCAATTAGATAAACTATTCATTGAAGCTACGGACACAAGTATTGTGACCCAGAATTCCACATAAACAACCAATTCCATAAAAATATGATTCATAGCAAATGAAGAAAAGCAAAGAAAGTTTCGTTAGCAATTTCCAGGAAACAAAATTTCCAAATGATCAATAAAACATTAATTTTAGGACATGCAGAAGAAGAAAAGTAAAAATCTAAAAGAACAATAAAGGTTGGTTTTCAGAATGGGTAAAAAGCAATGAAAAGTTCTTCCAGGAGAAAAAAAACTTCAAATAAAAGAAAAAGGTGGGAATGGTAATTACTCCTGCAGAGAGGGGGAATTGAGGATGGGTTTATTCTTTGCCTCGATGAACCATCCTCTGATGCACAAGCCTGACCTACCCTCTGGCAGCAACTCCGCTCCCGCTGCCTTTAGCTCTCTACCTCTCTCTTGCTCATCCATCACGCTCACTTCACTCCTTCCTTCACCTTTGCAAGTGCATACGCGATAATTTTACAGGGAGGTTTTCGAAAGAAATTGACCTCTAGCAATATTTTAGTTTCAAATTGATGACGATAAAACTTCGAATGGCTTACAGATGCGTAAAATGTCCAGGAAAAAAGTGTTATACGAGTCTGGTGTGCATAAGTACACTTGCCTTCCGCGAGGTATCAAATATGTCTTGTTATGATGGATGTAGGGCGGTGCTTCCTCCCAGGAAAAACGCAAAAGTCTATACCAATCACCAACCAACGGTTTAAAACTTCTAAGGTTAGGGAAATTTACGTACGGACTAGGTTTTTAATTATAATCGGTTAGCCAAAAAATAGTTCGTTATTATTTTGGAGGTGCGGATCTCAAAAAAATTTTATTTTTTATCAAGTTTGCTCTCGGTCTTATTTTTGATAAAATAAAACAAAACAAACGTAGGTTCGTCTTTCCAAATAGTATCGGGTTATTTTTAGTCTGTACTTAAATTTCTCAAAAAAAGAATTATTTTTAGTTTTTAAAATTTATTTTTTTACATATTGACAATATTTATGTGAGAGATCATATATATCCTTATATTATTAAGCAAGAGTTAAAGGGTAGACACGTGTCGCGAAAATAACAAGAGACCCTAATGTTATAGACGTTGTAGGACATATACCCATGTTTTGGGGGAAGAGAGTAATTAAAATTTTGTGTATAGAGTAGAGATTTTATGCACAGAGAGAGAGAGAATAGAGATTTTAGGAAGAGAAAGATATTGTTTCTATATCTTATTGAAAAATAGAAGAATTTTTGTATCCAACCCTTTCCTAAAATTTGCACATGAAGAGTAGAGAAAGGAGGATCTCTACCCTTTCTTAATATTTGATGAGTGAAAAATATCTATTTTAGGAAGAGTATAAGAGATAATATCTTATTACAAGATTTTAGAAAATCAACATTTTAATAGGATTTATTTGATAGAATATGCACAAGAGAGAGATAATGAAAGAGTTTAGAAGAGATTTTGAGAAAGAAAGAGAGTATGTGCAAGAGAGACTACGCACAAGAGAGAGAGATAATGAGAGATTTTAGGAGAGATTTTGAGAATGAGAGAGAGAGTACTTGCAAGAGAGAGAATGAGAGATTTTAAGAAATCAAGATTTTAATAGGATTTATTTGAAAGAATATGCACAAGAGAGTGAGAGATAATGAGATATTTAATGATATTTTTAGGAAAGAGAGTGTATGTGCAAAAGAGAGAAAATGATAGATTTTAAAAGAGATTTTGAGAAGGAGAAAGAGAGTACGTGCAAGAGAGGGGAAGCGGACGAGGAAGAAAAGGGAGGAGAAAGAGACAGAGAGCTCAATCTATATCTCACCTATATCTTGCGTTAGTGCCCTTGCTTCTTGCAAGAAAAGGGATGCGCTAGCGGCGCGTTAGCGCCCTTGCTTCTTGGCTTTCGAGTCTACGCTTGCTGGAGTCAAAGTCTTGCCTAAAAAATCTATAGTTACTATTTCCTTACCTAAAATATCCCTCTCATACTAAGAGACAGATTCCATATCTCACACTATGTTAAGACTTCTATCCTAATTAAGTTTGGAAGTCTTATAAATAGAAGTCTTTCAACCTCTCAAAATAGTTTCACATGCCCGTCTCAACCTCTCAACAAGGTGTTTAATCAATGTGTTTGGCTGTTTGATGTGAGAAGTCGAGTTAAGTATATGTTAGGAATTGTGATGGTTATTGCATGCTCTTCATGTTATTCTTCTGGTTTTTTGTAGTGAAATTTTGGATAAAAGAATCTTAGAATTTTGTTCATGGATAAATTGAGATACTCATCTAATTGTTTTGGGCATCGGCTTTATATATTTGGGCCTCATGTCACTTTATATAGTATAATTTTGTTCCAAAGCTGAAACTGCATGGACATCGGCTTATATAGTATTAGTATGGGTAACTATTAATGTTATTTAAGATAAATATGCCAATTTATAGTGAAACCTTCATCCAATATTTTTGTCAAGTTTTTGCAATTTTGCAGATTTTATTTTCAGATGAGATAGGTGTGAGAATGGTAGAATTTATTTTCATGATCTGTCCTTTTGTGGTTTTTTTACTGGCGATGGTAGATTGTTATTCAAAATTAGAATACCTATATCTATTGTCACTATCCTTTGATATTTAAAATAAAAAATCTCATCTCTACCCTCAAGACCGTATGGTTATGTCTCTTACCTCTCTCTACTCTCCAAGTCCATAAGCTCCAATATATTTGCTCTTTCTCTCTCATCCAAGAATCTTTCTCTATGCAATCATGCAGCAAACCTCCTGACCCTTATTTTTCCTTGCTGCCTTCGTCTTCTGCAATGCTTGAGGCCTTGTCATCCTCTATGCTCCTGCTGCAACAACAGATCCCCCTCTATCCCCAAAGATGGCACTGACCTACTTGCATCAAAACAAGGGGGCTACCCTTCTTCACCTATAGGGGATGAGCATGTCCTTAGTTTGTATCTCAACTCTTCCAAGTTTCACTCCTTCTGTGTTGTCATTGGCTCAAGTGCTTCCAAGGGTCCAGAAGGCCCATCTTCAGCACCGAATGGGCAATATTTGGCATGCTTGGACAAAACTAGCACCAATAGCGTGTGGTCATAGAGCACCTCTTCATCCCTCTTCCTGTTTGGAAACCTTAGTGTCCAAAGTGGGGTTGTTTACGTCAAAGACATGATCAGTGAACCTCTACAATTCTTGTCCCTCACAGTGGGAAAATTGTTTACTAGGATACTTCCTTGAGAGAAGACCTGAATGGATGCACAGGAAATCCATGCTCACGAAAATGTGGAGAACCCAATTGGAGTTGGAGATCATCTCGCTAAGCGACGGCTTCCTGTTGTTCAGATTTCAATCAGTTAAGGAAATGGAGATTGCGATGACTAGGGGGCCACGGTTCATCAACAAGAAATGCTTGGTGTTACAAAAATGGATTCCAAATGAGCTCCCATATAAGAAAGACTTATGGAAAGTGCTCATGTGGGTTAAATTTCTCGGACTTCCCCTTCTGTGTTGGGAACCAGAAATCTTGTTCACGCTTGCCTCCCTAATTGCTAAACAAATATTTATGGACAAGCCCCCTCATCTAAAGTCAAGACTTGAGGGCTGAGTATGTGCGGCTATGGAGTGTGACATGGAGTACCCAGATGAAATTCTCGTCAACTTGAATGGAAGGATCAGAAGGCAAAAGGTGGTCTACGAATTCATTCATGTTATGTGCTCGAAATGTAAAGCATTTAAGCATAAAAGTGAGCTCTGTAGAAGATCCATCTTCAATACCACTATAACCAGGAATACAACCTAGAAAAGAAGCCCCCCATCTTCCAGGGGTGAGGAGATTTAGCAGATCAAGAAGGGCAGCAAGGAACTATTCCTTAGGAAAACAACAGTTACAGCAAATGGAGGCCGCTTTGAGGCCCTTCTAAATCTATAGGACAATGAAAACATCATGGTTTCTATGGCCAAAGATGCACATCTTTCGCATGATCACAGGGAGACGAATGAACGATTCCAATGTGAACCCCCTCAATGCCAAATTGATGTTGCACCCAATAGTCCCCTGCGTGTGTTGGATGCAACATGGATGACGATGAAGTCTAGCCCCAACCGCGATTAAGAGGTGTGGACAACACTGATGTTCAATCTTCAGAATCACACAATGATAGTAGAGACCAACCATCAATGAGGGTAAGAAATGTTGAAGAAGAACTGCTTACACCACCAATCTCTACATCCAATGGTCAAGCCAACCCCAAATTTTCCTATTATACAAAAGAAGGAAACACTTCTCGATATCTCTCTGAGGTTAGTGAAGATGTTCATGCTGACAACACTGGGGATATCCGCACCTACACTTGCATTGGAACACTCATGGACATGACCCATGAAGGTGGGAACATGGTTAAAACTTCTCTTGATATGAGCTTGGTTTCGCCACTATTGGAAAGTAATAAGAAGCATGCCAGTTCCATGCTTGAAGACAATAGAGACAAAATAGAAAAGGCATGTGTGCTTGATGGTGAGTGTCTTTGACCCTAGTCAAGAAGAAAGTTGTTGGTTTCTTGCACGTTTATGGAAAATATCATGTGGTGCAACCTTCTATTGCTCATATTGAAATAGCAAGATTGGATAACCCTCAAGACGGCCAACCGACTAATGATCTTCCGTTGGCAAAGGAAGAGGAAGAGACCTCACAGGGGTCAGCTGGGCATGAAATGATGACGAACGACTTGTTATTGGTAGAGGGCCAACAAATAGGAAAACGTGGTCAGGGTAAGAAAGATGAGATTCTCAAACTTGCGAATGATGGTGCACAACTGCGGGGCGACGAAATTTCGCAAGGGTTGACCCATAGTGACGGCACTCTTGCCACTCCCCAAGTGTTTTCGGAAGTGCCGGCGGACTCTTCGTGTCGGTCGACTGGTAATGATAGTGAGTTTCCAAGTGAACCAGTATCCATTCCCCATCGTTTGAGAAGGGCTATGGCTAATGACATGGCTGTCACCACCCACATGACTGCTACTATATTAGAAGCTGATGTTGAACAACCTAACCCAAATGTTGCTGGTACACCTACATAGGTCCATGTTAGACAAGGCACTAAAGGTGCAAGTTATTCTCCTAGTACCACATCAAAGACGAGAGTTAACATGGACCAGCAGAAATACAAGACATTGAAGGCACTAAGGACCTCAAAGAGAAAATCCACTGTTGTGCAATAGGAGGGGGGTGGTCACCCCCAAGGTATGATCTCTTCCTCTTAATTATTTCTTCAATTTTTATCATATCTATCATGTCATGGAATATTAGAGGAATCAATATAGCCGGTCGAACATCAGATATTTGAAATCTTATAAAAAACTATGATGTTGGAATGTGCTTTCTTTTTGAAACAAAAATACAAGTTTCATTAGCAGGAAGATGGTCTAAGAGGTTTGGTTTGGTTTTTATAATTATTTTGTGATCAATGAGATAGATGAAAATTCACGAATTATGCTATTATGGAACCCAAATATCTATATTATTAATATCATTAATGTCCATGACCAAGCCATTACTCTAAAGATGTCTCAACCTAGCATTGGACTATCGTACATCATAACAAGAGTGTATGGTAGGAATTATGTGGCATAGAGAGAGGTTTAATGAGACCACCTACGGAACATCAAGCTCAGTATCGTTAGGGCATAGCTCGT